AAGTACAGGACAACAAATTAAAATTTGCTGTGCTGTCCAGATTATAGCCCCGCAAAGTTCGATACAGCACAGTACTGTAACAACCTGTTTGTGATTGCCAGTCCACCATTCTAAGTGCTATCCAGGCTCATATTATTGTTGAGCTTCTAACATCTAATGAGATGGGATGAATTCCAGGTGATTTGGTCATTAAGCAAAACAAATCTACGACGCCAGGGTAGAGAGATGTTAACTCCCTCGCCTGGTACGCAGAAGGTCGTGGATTCGATCCCGACCCTGACGCCTGCTGCTGTATATTTTGAGTTTGCATGTTTCTCATTTGTGGCAAGGTCGCATTTGAAAAATAGTTACAAACTTCAGTGGCCCTTAGCTGGTGAAATAAGAACAGGTTATGTTTCATACGGGAATGGAATATTGACTCTTAACTTAATTGAATCAGGGTTGTGTGTGGCGCAAATGTTACGGTTGTAAAGGTGAATATTCTTATGAGTAGGGTTCGTACAAAGTGGGTTGTGTTGGAGATATTGTTAGTGATCGATATATGGCGAGTGTCAGATTTACTGCTGTGATTGGGGTTAGTGTTATGATGTTAGGACTACTAATAGGGTTTTCCCCCTTTTTTCTGGCAACAAAGCCTTTTGGCGTCATCTGGTCGAGTACCATATGAGACTAGGCTCTAAGAAAAGCTGTCTCTGGTGTGGACCAATCAGTTTCAAGGACAATGCATAAATTATCAGTGTTTTTGTTTTTTGTTTGCATTTGACTGCAAGTATTGTGGTTAATGTAAACATGATTCCTTGCAAAAGGTGTCAGTTTTGTTGCCAGAAAAAAGGGGAAAACCCCTATTAGTACATTTTGGTACGAGCAAAGGAGGACTCATGATGTTTGGACCAGTAAGTATTATAGCGGTGGCAGAGATGCGTGGGTCTCAGTGTGCACCTAGCCTGGCACAAGCGCCGTTGTAACGTCACCGTCGGTTAGGGGTGAATGGCAGTTGTTGATGGTGCTGAATGTGGTGATAGTAATGGCGATGAAGATGATCTTGGCGATGAAGATGATAGTGGTGGTGAAGAAATGGGATACTTATGATGGCGACGGTGGTGATTATGGCGGTAATGAAAATTACGATGTGGATGTTGGCAATAGGATGAGGGTGGCCATGACATTCATGGTAGCGGCAATAAGTTCGATATTATTGTTATTGCGAGAGACAGCTCCTGTTACAACACTGTAGGTTTGTCAGGGCTGATCTTTCACGTCAGTCGGGAGGGTTGATGATGTTAGCAATGTCACTATTATTGTCGCTGATATTACCACTCCACACAGAGCTTGTGACCACGTGTTTGAAACTGGGTTAGAGGTACGGCCGGGATTTGAGTCAATGATGAAGTTGATGTGAATGATGAAGTTGATGTTAATTATAAAGTTGATGTTAATTATGAAGTTGATGTGAATGATGAAGTTGATGTCAATGATGACGTTGACGTTTGGTTCAAGATAAAGCCAAAGTCGTGGGCGATGTTGATAATTGTGATGATGGAATTAGGTTAAAGGTGAGAAACATTTATTGGGTTGTGGATTTTCCTACCGTCGGATACTCGTTTAACCGAGAATGCGGATACAATTAAGTCTCATCTGCAAACTACATCTTCTCAAGTCAGTTCATTAAATTTGGCGTCTTTGTCTCTCTTGGCCTTATCCTTATTCTTACAAGGCGCCTTGAGACAATCGTGGAACGCGCCTTTCGTGTAAATAAACAAAATCATATTGATGGTGATGACGTTGAAACGAGGCTTGCACATCGCCACGTAAATAACCTCTTGTTGCGGCAGCTCTCTCTCTGGCTCAGCAGTTCCACTGCTGGATGATTTTTTTCCACCCGAGGACGACCGCTCGTGTTGCGATCGAAACGTCGTGACATTTTCTTTTTTGTTTTATGTTATTTTTCCACCCACGTGACTTTAGCAAAATAACCAAAGAGTACGAGGCTTAAGAGGTAACGTCCATGCGGCTTGGGTGTATCTTGGTAACGGCGTTGGATGGCGACATGGGGATGAAGGCAGCGAGTTAAAGAAGGCCACGCGTTTCGAGTGCCGCCAAGCGTCACATTCCAACCCTCATTTTCGCACAGACTTCTAAACACATTCCTCCCTCGCCCTGCCTCCCTCCCTCTCTCTCTCTCTCGGGGTGCGTGAGGCCGCCACAGCCACAGCAGCAGCAGCAGGAGGAGGAGGCGGCGGCTTCTATAGACGAGAGCAGAACGCAGAACGCGGCCGGCGATGGGCCATTGTACCACTGGCGCCTGTGGCAGCCGAGGGCTTTTTTGTGCGAGAGAAGAGGAGGGGAGGGGGGAGGGGAGGGGGGAGGGGAGGGGGGTGGGGTGCAGGGTCGCGCTCCTTTTTTCCCCCACGAACAAGAATTTGTGGCGTTTTTTTCTCTTTTCTCTTCTCAACTACCTCCTCCCTCCCCTCTCATCCCACCCCTCTCACCCCCACCCGACTCTACCCCCCCACCACCCCTCCACCAACCAACACTGTCTCCATTCAACTCCATTTGCCGACTCTTGCAAGTGTGTACGGAGTGATGGTTTGCGGTGATTATGATGATGGTGAGAGGTAGTGATGATGATGATCATCATAGTTGTGGTGGTGACAGAGTGAAGTTGATTATGATGATGACAGTGAAGGTAGTGATGATGAAGATTGATGATGGTGGTAATGATGATGAGAGATGATGGTGAAAATTAATATTATCCTGTCTTGAAAGTGCTGGTGATGGTGATGATGATAGTAGTGATTGTGGCGAAGCTGGTGGTGATGCCGATGTGTATGCATGTCGCGGTGAAGATGACGACGATGGTGATGCTGATTTATAACCATGATGATGTCATCGATTGTTCGCCGCTCTGATATGGATGCTGCTAGAGATGAAGCTGAATATGATGATGATGATGCACGTCATGCTCTAGCTACAAAGCTATATATATATATACACAATTGCCAAAAGTCCCTTCTAAATACGAAATTGAAATCCCAGTAATGTAACAACAGCTGCCACCTTTCTATAAATGTGTAAACTGTTCGCGCCGCTTCTTCGTGACCACATGAGACGCACACAGAATGTTGACGATGCCAACAAGTCTACCTCTGCTGCCTTTCACAACACAAACATGCAAACTTTAGGCAGTACAGCGCGCTAACCACTGGCCCACCGCTCCGTTCTCGATCTCATGTTGTGAATACAAAACAGACATGTCACGCTAACGAACGTAAGGCCAATTTGTCTCGCCGACTCAAGACAAACACGCAGAGTGTGTTTAAATCAAGTTTGGGGTGATGGTGATGGTAGTTGTAGTGATGACAGTGAAGTTGATTATGATGATGATGACGCCAGTGAAGGCAGTGATGATGAAGATTGATGGTGGTGGTATGTGATGGTAGTGGTGTGGTAATGATGAGGATAATGATAGGGGCGGTTGTGGGAATTCGTATGATTCTGTCTTGAAAGTGGCGATCGTGGTGATGATGGTAGTAGTAGTGGTGGTGATTGTGGCGAAGCTGCCGGTGATGCTGATGATGTTTCGCGCTACTTGGTGATCATCAGCAGTGGCACTACCTTATCAACAACACTGAACAAATGCCGCTGGTCTAGCAGCGTGTTACTGCTCCGAGCAATCCCGTCCACAGCGCTCAGCGTCAGCGCAATGCAACTCAAGACAACAACGTGAAGCCATACTTGAGAGACACACACACCACCATCATCACACACCATCACATACACCACCACCATCATTTACACACACCACCATCACTTACACACCATCACACACATCATCACTATCACACACACCACCACCATCACACACATCACCACGATCACACACACCACCACACACACCACCAACACCAACACACACACACCATCACACACATCATCACCATCGCATACACCATCACATACACCATCACCACCACACACACACACACCATCACACACACCATCACACACCACCACTATCACACATACCATCACACACACCATCACCACCATACACACCACCATACACACCATCACCACACACACCACCATACACACCATCACCACACACACCACCATCACACACCACCACCACCACACGCTCCATCATACACCACCACCATCACACACAAGTGTGACACACACACCATGACCACACACAGGTGTGACACACACACACACACAGCTGTGACACACACACAGGTGACACACACACAGGTGACACACACACACGTGACACACACACACGTGTGACACACACACGTGTGACACACGTGTGACACACACACAGCTGTGACACACACACAGCTGTGACGCACACACACAAGTGTGACGCACACACACACAGCTGTGACACACACACACAGGTGACACACACACACAAGTGTGACACACAGACACAAGTGTGACACACACACACGTGTCACACACACACGTGACACACACACAGCTGTGACACACACACACACGTGACACACACATAGATCTGACACACACACAAAGTGTGACACACACACCGGTGTGACACACACACGTGACACACACACAGGTGTGACACACACAAACAGGTGACACACACACAAACAGGTGACACACACAAAGTGTGACACACACACGTGACACACACACACGTGACACACACACACGTGACACACACACAGCTGTGACACACACACAAAGTGTGACACACACACAGCTGTGACACACACACACACGTGACACACACACACACGTGACACACACATAGATCTGACACACACACAAAGTGTGACACACACACCGGTGTGACACACACACGTGACACACACACAGGTGTGACACACACAAAGTGTGACACACACACGTGACACACACACAGGTGTGACACACACAAAGTGTGACACACACATACAGGTGACACACACAAAGTGTGACACACACACGTGACACACACACACACACAGCTGTGACACACACACACTTACCGATTGGAAGAGCAGAGAGAAGGCGACAATAGCGAACGTCAATCTACGTGAAGATGATGAGGTCCTCATGGTTGCTGCTGCTGCTGCTTTCACGCTACGACGATGTCTCCTTTCTGCTGCTGCTGCCGATGATGATGTCGATGACCAAGTACGAGGAGGAGAGGTCCGTACGGACGATCTCTACTCAAGTCGAGACTCGTGGAGTCGCGCGAAATTCACCACAACTCTCTCCTCTCTCCTCGCTGGCGACTTCTGCTGCTGATGATGATGATGCTGCTGATGATTATTTCGCTACTGCTGCTGCTGCGGCTGAAGCTGCTGCTGCTTCGATCGCTCGTGTTGGATCCGGTTCTACCAGATCCGGGTGTTGGGTGCTTCCTGCTGCTGCTGCTCAAAAGAAAGACTGCGAAAGAAAGAAAATAATTAAAGAACTTTAACCCCCCCCCACCACTCTACAAACTCGGTGCGACACATAAATAAGTTGCTCAGCAGCGCCCCGAGTCGCCGAGAGGCAGCGTCTCCCCACCCCACCTCCTCCTCCCCCCTGCCGACTCAACGCAGAAGATCCCCCGTAGATTCGCGATCTTCCACCGCAGCTCGCGGTTCATCCCTTGCAAGTTGCAACCGCGACCCGCTGCGCAAAGCCGTGGACAGCGGGAGACGCGGGCGATGGCTGATGGTGCGCATAATGGGAAATTAGGAATACATCAACACGTATCCGGTAGTAGGCGGTGGTGGTGCGACCGTGTGGTCATCCAGGACAGAGGCCGTAACAACGTCGGAACGATGCCAATGACACGATGCACAACTATACGATGGAGACATCGCGGCGACGATGATGATGAAGAGGCACCACTCTGCTACTCGTAACGCGGTGATCTGCTGGCTTGCTAACCGCCTCAATGCGACATTGTCGACTTTGCTCTGCGTGGACATCATCAGCCGGCGTACGACACAGAAGATGAAGCAGACAGAGATGTGTCACCCTCCCTGCCACTCGGCACGGTCAAGCAGCAGCAGCAGCAACAGCCTCCTCCATGCAGTCTCCAACCCCGCATTGCCTCCCATCGCTCTGAGCCTCTCTGTTTACGCGGTGATAAAGAAGGGCCATTGCCCGAAACGTCGTCTGTTGCGTATATTTAAAAATAATAATTTTAAAGCCACGGTGTTTCATTGACGAATGCGTTGAGATTTGTTCTAGATGTGAAGCTTTCGTGACTGCAAGGATTCATACTCTTAGGTTTTTTCGGTAAAGTCACGTATGTAAAAAATAAATAATAATAAAAAAAATCATATAAATAAAATAATAAATCGCTAAATAATTATAATTTTTTAATTTCTATTATTATTTCTATTATTTTTATTATTTATTTTTTACCTACGTGACTTTACCGAAAAAACCTAAGAGTTTGAGATTTGTTGTTAATCGTACTGAGTTTGTGCGTGACTGACAACGCAGCAGCAGCAGCAGTCACCGATATTGACGCAGTTTAGTTCGGGTGTCGAGTTGAGTTTGTTTGAGGTTGAGAACTCCAGAGACCAGGTGATCATCGATTCCCAATTGCAAGGGGTGGCCTGGGTCACTTAATTGACATTTGAACGTCTGTGGAGAAAAAAGCTTTATAGCTCATCGGATTCCTCCGGGGTAAAAAGTTTTCTGATTTTGACACAAGAAAAACAAATAATGTAACGTAGGGCACTGAAGCAGGACTTTATCGTCGTGATAATCGTCAATGTCATCGATTACCCTCGCGATTATCGGTTCGAGAATTATGATCATCATTATCAGCCATGGTCAATCCGCTGCTGGGTGGATGGCTCTGCGATGTGCCGATCAACGGAGCCACCCTCTGCGCGAGCTGAATTCATCGCTCCATCTCCTCCACAGCTGTCCCCTCGAACCCGTTCCGTTCTTTGGCTGTGACTCCTTCAACAGCCTCTACCACGAGCCATCATCAGCAGCCCTTCTCTTCATCACAACATCTCCCACTGAAATCTAACTTCTCGCATCTGTAAACACGTTATCCAATCGACGTTCCTCTTTAACGCTACATTGTAGTTCAAAACCTAGAATAAAGACGGTAACTGTTGAACAAGTTTCTGTCTAAATCATTATTTGGAAAACAAATATTTACAATCCACTGATGGATCAACGCCCCCCCCCCTCCCCAAAGCCATGTAGATCATGGTTGGTTTGTTTGACCATACTTCACCACTCTGGCCAGTGTAGGTTTGTGAAGTGGTTTAGATACTAATTCTCTACTGGGGTCCGATGGGCCGTCCATAAATGACGTCACGCACCTAGAGGGGGGGGAGGGGTCAGACATTTGTGACGATGTGTGACGAGGGGGGGGTTGGGAAACGTGACATCACATCAAAATGCGCAACTTTAAATAAATATAGACAACACATTCTACTTAATTAAATAGACTTTTTAAATAAATGTTTTCTCCTACAACATCAGAGTGCAGCGTCACATTAAATACGCACTACAATGACAATAGTTTAAAGCGATTTGAGGCATGTTTAATTGCGGGGGGGGGGGGGCAAAGCTTTGTGACATCATATTTGAGGGGGGTCTAACTTTTTGTGACGCCGTGTGACGAAGGGGGGGGGGTCAAAAATCGTCCAAAATCGCGTGACGTCATTTATGGACGGCCCCATAGCCGTGGCGCAGAATCGAACTCAGACGGCCGACTTCACGGGCTGCCGACTACGCCGTCTGTAGCTGGTGACAGTGTTCACATTTGTCCAGAGTACACGGAGCAAGCGCGCCCTTGACTCACAGAGGAGACGGGGAGATGAAATCTGCTCGTGGACACGTGCTGAACGGAGCGTTCCAACCGCAGTAGATTTCCCTGATTGTCCTCAAGCCCGAGTTCCGAGTCCCACTCCCGGCCGCCGTCAGGGACGAATATCTGAACCGGTGCCCGGCCTTCCCTCCCATGGGGTCGACTCAGTCATAAATGATGACTGTACCCGAATGGTGCGATGTTGTTAAAGAAAAACATCAGTAGTAATAGGTTTTTACCCTTTCAACTGGTACAAAAACTGACACCTTTATACAAGGCATCATGTTTCCAATAACCACAACACAAGCAGTCAAAATGCAAACAAAAAGACACAACTCTGATGATGATAATGATATGAAACTGTCCTTGAAGTTGATTCGTCCACACCTGAGACAGCTTTCTTAGAGCCTAGTCTCCATTGGTGTTGGACCAGATGACGCCAAAAGGCGTACAACTCAAAAACAGCGCACTATCAGAGTATTGAGAGCACGGGGTAAGCATTTACACTATGAGACCTCCTTTTTTTGTACCAGTTGTTTTTGTTTAGTTTTTGTACCAGTTGAAAGGGTAAAAACCTATTACTATATTTTGCCACTGGTAAAGGAGATGTCTCATAGTGTAAAAACATCAGTACTGGGGAGAGACAAAGGCGGCCCGGCCGTGACGCTGCCCACCCACCCCTCGTGTGCCACCGTGCCTGCACGCCCATTACAGGTTGCCACTTACTCGCTTGACAGCACTTGCCCCAACAGTCGGTTAAGGCTACACTGTAGTAGGGGCTTCTTTGTCTTTGTTAGATTGAGACGAGGCAAAGGCGTTGGCAGCTGGCCTGCGTGCAGCAGTGGAACTCACACGAATCTCTAAACAACGTGTACAGGAGAGCGTCATGACATCTTGGGATTCATGCCTTTCTCGATTGTCCCTGTAAAGCGATGGGTTTATTGTGGGTTTTTTATGACACGTTAATGACATTGTAATCAAACTTCATTGCTTTTATTACGACCTCTGTAGGCACGTCTCTTGTATGTTTATATTACTAACAAAAATCTGATGCCATTAAACTGGTATAGACTCTGAAACGGCTTCCGATCAGTTATTAAACGATGATAGTCCCGAGTCAGAAGCAAGGACCTTCAAAGATACGATCATAAATACCGAATATGATTGATTTAAAAAGCCACTCCGGAAAGTAAGACGCACATAACACTTGTGCACGGTAATAGGGTTTTTACCCTTTCAACTGGTACAAAAACTGACACCTTTATACAAGGCATCATGTTTGCAATAACCACAACACAAGCAGTCAAAATGCAAACAAAAATAAACAACAACCAAAAGAAAAACTCTTTGTTTGCATTTTGACTGCTTGTGTTGTAGTTATTGCAAACATGATGCCTTGTATAAAGGTGTCAGTTTTTATACCAGTTGAAAGGGTAAACACGTATTACTATATTTTGCCACTGGTAAAGGAGGTCTCGTAGTGTACTTATGCATGGTGTCAATAAAGTTATACAAACGTGTTCACACACATACACACGGCTACCAGATTATAAGACGCACCTCAAAACGTTTGTTTTAAAATACAGGGGCTAAAGTGCGTCTTGTAATTCCGGAGAATGCATCACATTAATACGTAAATAAATTGCAGCCAATCTCAATCCACTGCTGGACGAAGGCATCGCCGCCCCGTGTCGGTCACTGTGAGTGTCTGACCACACTTCATCATCCTCTGGCGAAGGACCCGAGGACGATCTTTGCCGACGATCCGAGCCACGAACCGGGGCCGGGGTAGATCGCGCGGAGCGCTAACCGCAGCGCCACCGCTCCGTACCAACAAATGTTGTCCTTCTTCGATTCGCTTCGTGTGTGTGCGTGCGTGTCTCGATCTGAAAGTTGCAATGACAATTCCTCTGTTGACATACACACAGGCACGCGCGCGCGGGGTGCGTTCATACGTTTCCAGGTCACTTGTAATGCAAGCGCCAGGATATATGAACAGATTTAATGTTGGGAGCAAATGTGTAATTTGTTACGATGCAAACGCGCGCGTGTGTTAATCATTAACATGACTGTAGCTTACGAGAGCCGCGTTCCCATTTGTCACATTCCATCGAGTGTAGGGCTATGTCTCTCTCTCTCTTTGTGTCTCGGTGTCTGGGTCTGTGCGCGCGCGCGTGTGTGTGTGTACGTCAGTGTACGGCTCTGTGTCTGTCCCCTGTATGTGTCTGGGATTGTGTGTGTATGGTGGTGTGTGTGGCTGTGTGTATGTTGCTGGTGTAGCTGTTAGCGCGCTGGGCTATGCACCTGGCGACCCGGGTTCGATTCTCGCTCACGGCCAACACCATTGACGATTATCTGAACCGGTCCTGGGCCTCCCCTAGGTAAACTCAGCCTTAAATGAGTACCTGGTGCGGTGTGTAAACGTCGCCACCGGGGAGACAAAGGCGGCCGGGCGTGGTGCCGGTCACCCACCCGCGGACGTGCTATGCCGGCCTTCATAGGTGCTCGCGAACAGCACTTGCCCCAATAGTATAAGCCTATAAGGGGGATCTTTGTCTTTGTCTCGCTGTGTCCCTCTGTAATTGTCAGTGTCTGTCCGTATCCCTCT